GTTGGACACGACTGAGCAACTGAACTGAACTGAGTGCCTTTCACTTGATCTGTTCTATGATCACATTTTTCTGGGGAGTTTTCTACCTGAAAACATTATTCTGTTTTTCATTCCTTTTTTTCCCCCAGCTTTACCAGGTATAATCAACAAACAAATCTGAATGATAAACTGTACACAGTGATGACATGATACACGTATGCAAGAATACTCACCCAGATATTTATCGTATCTCACACACTGACAGGGGTTTCCTTTTTAGGGTTTTTTAAATGGGAACATCTATTGCCTCCAACTCCTTGACAGCCAGTTTTCTTTTGTTTCTATGAGTTTGTGACATTCTTTAAGATTCCACATACATGTGACACCATGCAACATTTCCCTTCCTTTATCTGGCTCACTTCACTGAGCTTTATGGCCTCAGAGTCGTGCATGTAACCACAAACAGCAGGATGTCCTTTCTTCTCATGGCTGAACAATATTCTACTGAATGTGTATACACCACATCTTCTTTATCCATTCATCCACTGACAAGACATTTTGATTGTTTCATGTACTAGATACTGTGAATAATGCCACTATGAACATGGAAGTGCAGAGATTGCTTCAAGATTGTTTTCAATTTCCTATGGATAAGAATTCCAAAAGTGGGATTACTGGATCATATGGAAGTAATATTTTTAATTTTTTGAGGAGGCACCATACTGTTTGCTTGAGGTTTCAAACACATGCTCACAAAATCATAACTAATAACAATGTCAAGAAGATTATCTCCTGTTTCTTCTCTACAAAATTTTATGGTCTCAGGTCTTATACTGAAGTCTTTAATTCATTTTTAGTTGATTTTGTGTGTGGTATAAGACAGGGATCTAGTTTCATCCTTTTGAGTGTGGATATCCAGTTTTCTCACACTATTTGCTGAAGATACTATAGTAACTGTAACAAAGATACTACAATAACTGTAACAAAGACATTAGTTTCCCCACTGAACATTCTTGGCTCCTCTGTCATAAACTGATTGACCAAATACGCATGGGTTTGTTTCTGGGCTCTCTACTCCATCCCACTGATCTAGTGTCTATCTTTATGCCAATACCATACCACTTTGAGTAATACAGTTTACAAATACAGTTTGAAGTTAGAAAGTGTAATGCCTCCAGCTTTATTCTTTCTCAAGATTCCTTTGGCTATTTGTGTTTTTTGCAATTCCACACAAATTTTAGAATTGTTTGTTCTACTTCTGTGAAAAGTGCACTGGAACTTTGATATGGACTGCACTACATTTGTAGATGGATTTCCATAGTACAAATGTTTTAATAAATTAATTTTTCTAATCTGTGAGCATGAAATATCTTTCAATTTATTTGTGTCTTCTTCAATATCTCTCATCAGCATCATAGTTCTCAGTGTATAGGTCTTTTACTTACTTGATTAAACTTATTAGGGTTTTTTTTGTATGATACAATAAATAAGATTGTTTTCTTAATTTCTCTGACAGTTTGTTATTAACATACAGAAATACAGGTGATTTTTGTATATTGATTTTGTATCCAGCAATGTAACTGAATCTGTTTATTAGTTCGAACAGTTTTGTGGTGGAGTTTCCAGGATTTCCTACGTATAACATGAGACCATCTGCAAATACTTTTACGTTTTCCTTTTTACTGAGATGCATTTTCTTTCTTTTCCTTGCCTAATTACTTTAGTTAGAACCTCTAGCACCATGCTGATTAAAAATGGCAAGAGTAAATATCCTTATCTTGCTCTGACCTTAGATGAAAAACTTACAGTTTTCCACTTTTGAATGTATTATTAGTTGTGGGTTTGTCATACATAGCTTTCACTGTTGAGGTATGTTCCCTCCATACCCACTTTGTTGAGAATCATGAATGGATGTTGAGTTTTATCAAATGCTTTTTCTGTAACTATTGAGATGATCACATGATTCTCATTCTTCATTTTGTTAATGTGCTGAATCACAGTAATTTGCATATACTGAACAATCCTTGTATCCACTTGATCATGGAGTATGATCCTTTTAATATGCTGCTGAATTCAGTTTGCTAGTTCTGAATTGAGAACTTCTGCAGCTATATTCGTAACAAATATTGGCCTGTAATTTTCTTTTCTTGTAGGTTTCTTGTTTGGTTTTCGTGTCAAGGTAATGCTAGCCACATAAAATGAGTTTTTAAGAATTCCCTCCTCTTCTATTTTTCAGGAGACTTTAAGATTGGTAATAATTCTTTTTCAAATGTTTGGTAGAATTTGCCAGTGAAGCCTTCTGGTCCTCTACTTGTTTTGGGGAGGTTTTTGATTACTGATTTAATCTCCTTATAAATAATTGGTTTGTTCAAATATTCTATTTCTTCATGATTCAATCATGATCCCGTTCTTCTAAGCTGTTCAATTTGATGGCACATATTGTTGACAGAAGTCCCTTATGATCCTTTGTATTTATAGTTGTAATGTCTCCTCTTTCTGATTTTATTTGTCTCCTCTCTTTCTTATTAAGTTGAGCTAAAGGTTTGTGTATTTAGTTTCTCTCCAAAAAACCAACTCTTGCTTTTTCCCTGATCCTTCCTACTGTATCTTTAATCTTATTGCATGTATTTCCACACTGATTTGCTATTCCCTTCCTTCTGGCAACTGTGGGCTTACTTTGTCCTTCTTTCTCTAGCTCTTTGAGGCTTAAAGTCAGGTTGCTTATTTGAGACTTTTCTTGTTTCAAACGTAAGCATTTATCACTATGAACTTCTCACTTAGAAACCCCGTAAGTTTTGGTATGTTGTATTTCTATTTTCATTTGTCTCCAGATATTTTTTATTTTCCTTTGACAGCTTCCTTCAACCACAGGTTGTTCAGGAGAATCTTGTTTAATCCCCCATGTAAATTTGATTTTTCTAATTTTTTTCTGTTCTTAATTAAGGTATAATTGACATACAACATTAGTTTCAGGTTTACAGCATAATAATTTGATACTTGTATATAATGTATGATTGCAACAAGTCTAGTTAACAACCACGGCATACCCTGCTAACTTGAAAAGATACATGCACCCCTATGTTCACTCAACCTAATTCACAACAGGAACTGAAAAGGAAACAACCCGAGTGTCACTGATGGTGAGACGGATAAAGAAGATATGCTATATACGTACAACAGAATATTACTCAGCCATACAAAAGAATGAAGTATTGCGAGTTGTGACAACATGAACAGACTTTGAAGGCATCACGCTAAGTGAAATAAGAGAAAGAGGAATACTGCATGATCTCACTTATACGTCGAATCTAAACAACAAACAAATGAACTAAAAACCAAGCTCACAGATACAGAGAACAGATTGGTGGTTGCCACAGGCAAGGTATGGAGGCTAGTGAAATGGCTAACGGGAGTCAAAAAGATACAAACTTCTAGATATTTAAAAAAAAAAAAAGTTAAGTCCTGAGAATGTAATCCACAGCATTGCAAGTATAGTTAATAATACTGTCTTACATATTTCAAAGTTCAGTTCACTTCAGTCACTCAGTCGTGTCCGACCCTTTGCGACCCCATGAACCACAGCACGCCAGGCCTCCCTGTCCATCATCAACTCAGAGAGTCCACTCAAACCCATGTGAACTGAGTTGGTGATGCCATCCAACCATCTCATCCTCTGTCATCCCCTTCTCCTCCTGCCCTCAATCTTTCCCAGCATCAGGGTCTTTTCAAATGAGTCAGCTCGTCGCATCAGGTGGCCGAAGTATTGGAGTTTCAGCTTCAACATCAGTCCTTCCAATGAACACCCAGGACTGATCTTTAGGATGCACTGGGTGGATCTCCTTGCTGTCCAAGGGACTCTCAAGAGTCTTCTCCAACACCACAGTTCGAAAGCATCAATTCTTCAGCGCTCAGCTTTCTTTATAGTCCAACTCTCACATCCATACATGACCACTGGAAAAACCATAGCCTTGTAACATTTCAAAGTTACTAAAACAGTAAGTCTTAAAGGTTCTAATTGCAAGAAAAAAACAAAAATAGTCCAACTACCTATGGCAACAGATGTTTTCACTTTGACAAATTCTTTCAATTATCTAAGGCTTTCTGTTTCTGCTAGGGTCTTAGAATGAGACCACTAGAATTCCAAACACAAGGACATCAAGGGTCCTTAAAAATATGAACATAAGAACCTTGTAAATCAACTACTCTTCAATAAAAAACTTAATTAATTAAATTTAAAAATCTGAACATTATCTGAGTAGGAATTTCATGTTTACATATTATATCTTTGTCTTCTGTGGATACCAGGATACAGCAAACATGCAGGAGGTTTTCTCCTATATAGAGGTCAGCAAACCAGAGTCCACTGGCTCAAAAATGTTTTACTGGAACAAAACCATGCCCATACCCTTAAGTATTCCATATACCTTCTTTCACAGCACAACAGCAGAGGTAAATAGTTGCAACAGAGATATGGCCCACAAAGCATGTAACGACCTGGCTCTTCATAGGAAAAACTGGCCAAGCCTGTCCTGGATTACAGGTTTATCAAATAAGCTTCCACAAACAGCACCTTGTAAGCTCTGTGGGCAATTCTGAAGGATGAACTCTTTGTCGTATTAGGAGTCTAGCACATTATAGAATGTTTAGTATCCCTGGCCCGCCAGGGAACTAAAATGCTAGCAATACTCCCAGTCTTTCTGTCAACCAAAATTCCCCGCACATTTCGAAACACTCTGGAAGAGAGTGGAAGTACTATCCCTGATTGAGAACCACTGAAGAACTAAATTAGCTCAGAGTAAAGGAGGAGCAAATACAGTCCATAAATTCTAAATGCCACCAAGACAGATGAGAAATATCATTCCCTTTTTAGAAAGTAAACTAAACATCTATTCTTCTTCCCCGTTGACACTTAAGCCAGAAATATGTTAACAACTTCTTGATAAAATTAGGCTTTATAATTTGATTACTCTATCATGGGGCTGACTTAAAAGTTTAAAAATAAATTTATAAGGCAATCTTACCGATTCGTTCCATCCAGATTGGATCTGTGAATGAAATTAAGTTTTGCATCTGCCCAATAAAGCTTCCGTTCCTCATAATCCAAAGTCAGTCCATTTGGCCAGTAAATTTCAGTGTTTATTATGACAAAGCGATCTGAACCATCCATTCCAGCACGTTCTATCTTTGGTACTTCTCCCCAATCTGTCCAGTACATGAACCTAAAAAAAGATATGAAAAGTAAACCCATGACATAAGCAGGTTAATTACCAAGTATCTTACAATCATCACTACTGGATAAAGAAAGTGCTCTCAGAAACATTAAACTGAAATTCCTAGAAACTGTTACTGAAATTTTAATCATCTTTTTCCTTCCATGATGGTAATAACTGATTCAAGTCCAGCATCATCCAGGACAAGAAAACCATGTGATCAAAGCTTTTAGGGAGAAAGGGTATTTACACTGTCTCAGTGTCAATCCTGAAAGATGATGCTGTGAAAGTGCTGCACTCAATATGCCAGCAAATTTAGAAAACTCAGCAGTGGCCACAGGACTGGAAAAAGTCAGTTTTCATTCCAATCCCAAAGAAAGGCAATGCCAAAGAATGCTCAAACTACCGCACAATTGCACTCATCTCACACGTTAGTAAAATAACGTTCAAAATTCTCCCAGCCAGGCTTCAACATTATGTGAACTGTGAACAAGTGTTCAAGAAAAGGTTGTTTTAGAAAAGGCAGAGGAACCAGAGATCTACTTGCCAACATCCAATGGATCATCGAAAAAGCAAGAGAGTTCCAAAGGAACATCTACTTCTGCTTTACGGGCTATGCCAAAGCCTTTGACTGTGCGGACCACCACAAACTGTGGAAAGTTCTTCAAGAGATGGAAATACCTACCAGACCACTTGACCTGCCTCTTGAGAAATCTGTATGCAGGTCAGGAAGCAACAGTTAGAACTGGACATGGAACAACAGACTGGTTCCAAATAGGAAAGGAGTAGTCAAGGCTGTATACTGTCACCCTGCTTATTTAACTTATATGCAGAGCACATCATGGGAAACGCTGGGCTGGAAGAAGCACAAGCCTGAATCAAGATTGCCGGGAGAAATATCAATAACCTCAGATAGGCACATGACACCACCCTTATGGCAGAAAGCGAAGAACTAAAGAGCCTCTTAATGAAAGTGAAAGAGGAGAGTGAAAAAGTTGGCTTAAAGCTCAACATTCAGAAAACTAAGATCATGGTATCTGTCCCATCACTTCATGGCAAATAGATGGGGAAACAGTAGAGACAATGACAGACTTTATTTTTCTGGGCTCCAAAATCACTGCAGATGGTGACTGCAGCCATGAAATTAAAAGATGCTTACACCTTGGAAGGAAAGTTATGACCAACCTAGACAGCATATTAAAAAGCAGAGACATCACTTTGCCAAGAAAGGTCCATCTAGTCAAGGCTATGGTTTTTCCAATAGTCATGTATGGACATAAGAGTTGAACTATAAAGAAAGCTGAGCGCCGAAGAATTGATGCTTTTGAACTGTGGTGTTGGAGAAGATTCTTGAGTCCCTTGGACGGAAAGGAGATCCAACCAGTCCATCCTAAAGGAGATCAGTCCTGGATGTTCATTGGAAGGACTGATGTTGAAGCTGAAATTCCAGTACTTTGGCCACCTGATGGGAAGAACCGACTCACTGGAAAAGACCCTGATGTTGGGAAAGATTGAAGGTGAAAGGAGAAGGGGATGACAGAGGATGAGATGGTTGGATGGCATCACTGACTCAATGGACATGAGTATGAGTAAACTCCAGGAGTTGGTGATGGACAGGGAAGCCTGTTGTTGCTGCAGTCCATGGGGTCACAAAGAGTCAGACACGACTGAGAAAGTGAACTGAAGGAAAACAAAATGATAGACATAACTACATACAAGTAAATAACAACAATAAAATATAAATGGATTAAAGATTCCATTCAAAAAAGTAATGGTAGAGGGTAAAGACAACAGGTATTTGAGAAGAAAAAACTGACAGGACTTGGCTTGAGGAGGAATGAAGAGCAGGAACTAAAGATAATTTCTAGGTCTCTTGTCAAAAAAGGGATGCCTTAAAAGAGATAAATATTAATACACATTAAAATACACAGCTATTAAAGTAAAAGATGTTCAGCCATATACCACCAAGCAGTATGATGTCATATTTGAGATATCACCATAACAGAGAACTGTTCTTTTGTTTGAACTCTTCAATTATCAATCATATAATTTATAACTACAAGTTCATTAAGTGTGGAAAAGTTGGATTATAAAAGATAGTGTAGTGGTGATATAAAGCAGAGATTTCAGAGCTAGGGTGCTCAGTCCTGCCACTCCCAAACACATGATTTTTGAGCAAGTTACTTCACCTTTCTGTCCCTCATATTCCTTATAACAGAAGGATTAAAAACAGATGCATGTCAAATGGTTTCAGCCAGAATTAAAGCAGTCAATATATGCAAAGCACTTAGAAGCTCTATCTATGCTCTAGCTATTGTTTTTTATATCATAAATCTCTTGTTCATGGTTTCACTTTTAGAATGAATGGCAAAGTTATTAACACAACCTTCATACTATCTGGCTCCTACCCATCTCTTCAGCTTTAATTAACACCACTCTACACTTCATATGGGCTTCCCAGGTGATGCAGTGGTAAAGAATACACCTGTCAATGCATGAGATGAAGGAGATGCAGCTTTGGTCCCTGGGTGGCAAAGATTCCCTGGAGTAGGAAATGGCAACCCACTCCAGTATTCTTGCCTGGAAAATTCTATCAACAGACGAGCATGGTGGGCTATAGTCCATGAGGTTGCAAAGAGTCAGACAGACAGACAGACACACACACACACACGCCCTTATTCATTATATGCCAGGTACCAGACTCCCTGGCAGTACAGGGCTTTCCCTTTACCTATTATCTTCTCTTTCAGAGCTCAACTTAAATAACGTTTTCTCTAACAGGCCTGCTTTAAATCACAAATCAGGTCACAGAGTCCCATATCATAGCATTACAACTATATTTGATCATTTGCTTAATGTTTATTACCTCTAACTTACACATTTATGTTTTAGGCAATTTCCGGATTAAGAAAAAAAAATTTTTAAGTAAATGAGGAAAAAATTTTCCATTTGCTGATTTGGTAAAGTATTCCTTCTGCAGAGGCATACAAATACCTCTTTCTTAATAATGCTATTACATGAAAGAACTCTTGTCTACCACAGCCAGCAGAAAAGAAAACAACACATTAAAAGAATAAGCTGGCAGAGGAACTGACTAGCAATTTCCCATGATCACAGACTGAATCTGGTGGCAGTATTTCTTCATGTACTTTGACATGCTAATTTCATGTCTCAGAGCCAACTGTTCAAAGGTCATTCTATCAGTAAATATTTTAGTAATGTTCTAGCTAACAGCTCATCTCGGTTTGTATCTCATAAAGTCAAACATAAGATAGAAAGAATCCAATTATCCTAAGAATTCAGATCTCTCACCGTTAAGAGTTTTAAAAAAGCAACCAGTCAATGACAAAATACTAAATCAACCCATGTATTATTTGTTCTTTTATTACTATACAATCCAGGTCCAAAGTCTTCCTATCCTAAATGTTTTGTCCTTCTTTAAACTGAAATATAACTGACACATAACATCATGTGAGTTTAAGATGTACAACATGTTGGTTTGATACTTATATACTGAAATATGACTACCACAGCATTAGCTAACACATTTACCATGCCACATAATTACTTTCTTTTTTTCAGTGGGAACAATTAAGATCTCGTTGTTTATAATATAGTATTGTTGACTATAATCACTACATTGTGCATTAGATCTCAAGGACTTATTTATCTACTAGTTCTAGGTTTGTACCCTTAAACAACATATTCCCAACTGCTCCAACTCCCAGCTTCTGCTAACCACCAGTCTACGTTGTTTTTGTAAGTTTGGCTCTTTTAGATTCCACATGAAAGTGATGCTATATAATATTTGTCTTTCTCTGACCGACTTATCTCACTTAGCAAATGCCCTCCAGGCCCACCTATGTTTCCACACATGGCAGATTATTTTTTCTCAATGGTTAATATTCCATTGTGCATACATACTGCAACTTCTTTATCCATTCATCTACTGAAGAACATATAGGTTGTTTCTGTATCTTAGCTATTGTGAATAACATAACAATGAATATAGGAGTACAAACATCTCTTCAATTCCTGTTTTCATTTCCTTTGGGTATACAGCTAAGCTGTGAACAACAGAAATTGAAACTGCACAGGTCCACATACAAATTTTCTTTTCAACAATAAAATACTACAGTACCACACAATCCAGTCAATTTTAAGAGAAATCAACCATGAATACTTGTTGGAAGGACTGATGCTGAAGCTCCAGTATTTTGGTCATCTGATGAGAACAGATAACTCATTGGAAAAGTCCCAGATGCTGAGGAAGATCGAGGGCAGAAGGAGAGGAGGGTGTCAGAGGATGAGATGGCTGGATGGCACCACCAGTACAACAGACTCTAATGAACTTGGGCAAACTTCGGGACCTGGTGAGGGACAGGGAGGCCTAGCGGGCTGCAGTCCATGGGGTCCCAAAGCATCAGACACAACTGGGTGACTGAACAGCAACAACAGGGGCAACCACACAATCCATGGTAGGTTAAATCCACAAATGCAGCACCTCAGATACAGAGCTACCATGTGCATACAAAGGGAAGAACGTAAGTTACAAGTGGATTTTCAACTGTACAGAGGGTCGGCACCCCTAACCCACATACTTCAAACTCAACTATAGGACCACCCTGGTGGTACAGTGATAAGAATCCACCTGCCAATGCAGGGGTCAAGGGTTCGATCCTGGTCCAGAAGATTCCACATGCCATGGCGCAACTAAGCCCAAGCACCCTGCAGTCTGTACGCTGCAGTGACTGAGCCTGTGCACCTAGGGCCCGTACTCCACAATAAAAGGAGCCATAGCAATGAGAACCCCGAACACCAAGAGGAAGAATAGCCCCCACTTGCCAAAACTAGAGAAAGCCTGCATGCAGCAACAAAGACCCAACACAAACAAGATAAATTAAAAATAAAAATAAGCTCAACCGTATGTCCAGAAGTAGAACTGCTGAATCATAAGGCAGTTGCATTTTTAATTTTTTAAAGACTTCCATACTGGTTTCCATAGGAAC